AAAGAAAGAAAGAAAGAAAGAAAGAAAGAAAGAAAGAAAGAAAGAAAGAAAGAAAGAAAAGAGAGAAAAAGAAAGAAAAAAGAAAGAATTGTGTTCAGTTACGAGATAAGCTTCAGGCATGGCTGGATCCAGGGCTTCAAATAATGTTATCAGGATCCCTCTTTGCTCTGCTTCTCCTCTGTTTTACTCCCAGGCAGGCTCTCCCTTTATGGTGGTAAAGATATCACAGGCTTCTCTAAGCTTTTGTATTACCAGCTCCACCACACCCATGAGAAAGACAGTTGCATTTATTGGGTGTTCTTGTTCCCAGGCTCTCAACGGCACAGCAAGGGAGTGTGTATATTCATTTGTATTTATTTCAGTGTCTATCTCTACGGATTGGAAACGACGTGTCTACTCTCATCTCTTCAATTCCAATCCAACAGCACGGGGTTTATTCTCGCCTTCTCCCTTTCCCCGTATGTGTACCTCCTTTCTCTGACAGTTAGAAGGCAGACTCCCATTACCTTAATTTGTTTGCTCATTTGACCAATGCTTTTGTATGTGACCATTTGCCCCTTCTGCTGAGCGTCCCTGTGGATGCCCTCCTCACCCCGCTGGAGCTCTGACACCCCTTTGTGGCAGTTTTCTCCTTGCCTCGTTGGGGCTTGGAGTCCCCATGCCAAACTGCCCTACCAGCGGATGCTCTCCTCACCCTGCTGTGGCTGAGTCCCCTTCCCTGGCTGCCCTTCTATGGGGACACCCTCTTCCAGCTTTGACCCTGAGTCCCCACGCTGGCTGCTGGCTTACATATATGTCCTCCTTGTCCTTCGGGGTCCCTAACACCCACCATCCGGGTCAGAGCCCCCCCCCCCCCCCCCAGCCAGGCCGTCACTTTGCAGGGACACTCCTGTCACCCTTCTTGGACTCTGATACCCTTGGGCCACCGTGTTTCCTTTTCCTTCCTGCAGAGATGCTGACTTTTATTCTGCCCCCCCCCCAACGGCTTTATGGCTGAATTGTTTAAGGGAAGGAAGAGAGGGAACAGAAAGCAGAAGTGCCTCTGTGTCAGTCACCCCAAGAGACTCAGGACTCCTGGGCCGTCACCGTTTGCGGGGGGGCCTCAATGCCCACATGGCTTCCGTGGTCAGACAACTTGCTGGCATCCCTCAGGCAGCCAAGGGCAGGGACCTCCTCTCTGCTTTCCCTGACGTGCCTCCCCCCTGGCACTTCTCACCGTGGATGCACTTACCTGCACGCACTCAGAGCTGCGCCTGGCCCATGGAAGCATCGAGAAGTTATTTGTTAACGAAGGAGTCCTACGCGAGAGTCATCCCACGTGGACAGGGAAGTTAGGAGCCTACTACCCAAGGAGGGTGTCCTGGGGCCCTCGTGGGGCTCACGGAGGCCCCTGTGTCCTTCCTCGCGGGGTCCCCCTGGCAGGTGGTACCCCTCTGGTCTGTGCAGTGCCGGTGACTTCTGGGAGCGGACAGACAAGGAAGTGTAGTTAGCATTCATTCATTGCTTATGTTGTACAAGCTGTCAAAACTAATGAAATTTTATGACAGACGGGCAACGACCAGCTTCCTGGTGTTATTTATCTTTCTCGCTCCTGGCTCGGAGCACCGGGTGATTTTTCATTTACATTTAAAAATGCCAAAATGACTAAGCTCAATTCGCCTCCTCAGAAAACCGGCAAATTGTATCAATGCACAAATGTAATTAATAATCATCAGGCATGAGAAATGAGGAACGGTTATGCAGGAAAGTCTATCTTTCCAGGCTCCTTCCTCTCCCCGCTACCTTTTCAGCCGGTTCCCAAACTCCAGGCACATACATCATGGGTCCCCCGCGCCCCCCCACCCCCCACCGTCATTGTTCATATCTGATAGCGGGTGTTTGCAATGACAAACAAAAGGTTCTTGGGACTGGTCACATGAGTTCCCATGGCTCAGCGGATTCATTTGTAGCAGCCTCACAGGGATGATGCAAATAGATGTAACACGTAGGGGAAGGAAAGATGAAAAAAAAAAAAATCCAATGGAAGAGGGGAGCGAGGTGTCAGGAGACCGGTTAATTCTAGAGTGACGAGACTGTGAGACCGTGTTCGTGTAGCCGGGAGAAACCTACAGACCCAGTCCGTCCTGACACCCCCATCGTATGTGCTCCGAACGGTTCTTTCGTGTGCATCACCTTGAACTCTCTCACCTGCTCATTCCGGCCACGTGTGATCTGCACTGTTCTCTTGCTCTCGGCCGTACCTGTGATTTGCCAGGCTCTTTCACCTCTGCAATTCCTGGCCCTCCCCCGAGTACTTCCGGGGGTCTTTGGAGGTAGATGGTTAGTTCTTTGCATCATCTGCATGATGCTGATGATGCTGATGATGTCTTTTCTGCTGGCCCCATTGGGGTTCGGTTCTGACGAGCTGCATTTTTAAGGCCTCAAAGCAACGGCCACGTGTCCTCGGGGGCCCTCCAGTACCAAAGGCATTTTTCCTTCTGTGGAGTCAGGGCAGTAATTCCTCCACTTCCAGTGTTTTAACAGAGGCTTTAAAAAAACAATTTTTTTTTTTTTTTACATTTTTTTTAATGTTTATTTTTGAAAGAGAAAGAGAGAGACAGAGTTCGAGCAGGGAAGGGGCAGAGAGAGAAGAGAAGAAGACGCAGAATCCGAAGCAGGCTCCAGGCTCCGAGCTGTCAGCACAGAGCCTGACTTGGGGCTCAAACCCACGAACTGTGAGATCGTGACCTGAGCCGACAACTGAGCCACCCAGGCGCCCCAACAGAGACCTTTAAATTGCTCTATGTGCCTTCCAGAAAAGCCTTCTCGATTTTTTTATTTTTTTATTTTTTTTCAGTAAACAGGTCTTGGGCGAGGAGACAAAGCTGAAAGGCAGACATTATGGCCCATTTGAAACCCAAGCCCCGGCCACCATGACTAAGGCTTTGTGAGGGGGCCAAGCTTCTCTGCTTGCCTTTTCTCCCCCAGGATGGGCGATTTCCCAGAGGGCTCCTCCGGTGTCTGTGCACCTTGGCCCTGGGAAGGCCAGACATGTCCAAACACGCTGGTGTCACAGCACCAGCTCAGGCTCCAAACGGCACTCTTGACTCAAAGGTGGCCTTACAGAGAGTCCGCTCTGTGCCTGGCACCGTGGGGCTTCCTGACAAGCCAGTCAGACCCAGCACTTGCCCTGAAGGACGTTGTCATACCAACAGGCATGTAGGAAACAACCAGATGGTGGGGGAGGTGACAGTAAGTGGAACAAGAGAGGTACAGATGATGAAGAACAGGTAATGCGGTAAAGAGGAGGGCTGTGTCCACAGAGTTGAAGTAGGAGGTTGGACTCGAACTCAGCCGTGAGAGATGGGAGCACGTACAGGAGGAGACTAGAAACGGTGCTCCAGGAAGAAGCTCGAAGCTCCTCCAGGGGCTGCAGGAACGAGCAAAAGGTGGATGGATGTTACTAGCAATACGCAGGGAAGGGCGAGGGTTCGGATTGGCTAGGAAGGGGAAGTTTGGGGAGGTTCTGGTGAAAGCGGGGGGTGGGGGAGGTGGTCAGACTGGATACCAGAGATCCTTGACCAGCTGGCTGAGTCTGTGTCCTGTTGTATACGCAGCAACACCTACCAAATAGAGGTGACGTTTCAAACAGAGCCACGGAACGGCCGTGGAGAACAGGAGCGCCTTTCTGGATCAGGTAGACCTACCTGGATCCGTGAGCGTCAGGTGAACAGGAGAAACCAAGGCGGGCAGATTCGTGAGGGGGCCTCTGCGGTAACAGCACACGTGGGTACGGAGATTGGAGCCGGACAAGATGAAAATAAGGAGAGAGGGGCTGGACACAGCATGTGGGGGAAGAGAGGAATCTAAGCAAAGTCGAGCACGAGCAGTTGGAAAGGGAGAGCAGCCGGGCGCCTGGGTGGCTCAGTCTAAAACCATCTGACTTCGGCCCAGGTCATGATCTCATCGTGGTGCATGGGTTCGGGCCCCGCGTCGGGCTCTGTACTGACAGCTCGGAGCCTGGAGCCCGCGTCGGATTCTGTGTCTCCCTCTCTCTGCCCTCTCCTCTCTCTCTCTCTCTGTCTCTCTGTCTCTCTCTCCCAAAAATAAATAAACATTATTATTATTTTTTTTTTTAATAAAGGAAAGAGAACAGCATGAGATCCAAGAGGCAGAGTGATTTTTTTTTTTTGGGGGGGGGGGGGGTTGGCGCAGGATTGTGATGGAATCATATCCCCAAAGCAGCTTTAAAAGGTGGGTGGGAGACGATGATTCCCAATTTGGAGGCAGGAAAATTGTGCCAGAGAGCAGTCAGCGGTATGTTCATGCTCAATTGCTATAAGGCAGACCTGTCTCTTACACCCGGACTTTTGGCTTTAAAACGTTTGCTTTTTTTTTTTGCCTTTGCATGCCTGCACAAGCAGCTGTATAGAGAGGGGTGGTAGAAAAAGGACTAGAATAAAAAAGATGAGTAGTAAAGATTTAAGCTTGGTGACAAAACAAAGCCCGTTGTAACGGTTCTTGGGAGAACCATCAGGCGAATGAACTCTCCTAATCCAATCGGGTAAGAAATTCCCTGGGCATATGGATCCATAATCCCATTTTAAATCCCCTAAAAGGAGAGTCTAATAAGAAATCGACTCCAACGGAAAACAAACTAGAGGTAATAATTGTGCTGAGACACTGGGCATTCCCTCCTTCCCCCCCACCCTGCCCAGGAACACAGGCCGTCCAATAAAAGCCATGAAATCCATAATAGAAATTGCCTCAGCCCGAAGCTTCTGGAAGGTCCATGTGTTCATAACAGACCTGTTGCTGTCGATTATCTCCAGCGATAACCAGCTGCTTACGAAAACATCCGTTTTCTGAGAATTTGGACCCTTTCATGGTCTGTTTCACACTTGGGGACGAAATGGCATTGCGTCGTACCTGTCTTCAGCTGGTGGGGAGGCGAGGTGGGAAATCAGGATCTTGCCAATGTTCTATTTTTCTTTCCGTTTGTTGTTGCAACTGGACTCGTTAGACCAGGCGAGAGCTGCCAACATTTATAACTTGGGCTTTTCTAATTAAAGTTCTGCCGAAAAGCCTCCTCTTGTCTTCTGACTCCCTCGGCAGGAATGTGCGCTCATAACAGAGGCATCTGCCCCCTGGACTAACCTTTCTTGAAACCAGATAAACAAAGTAATACTAATAAAAATATCCATCTGTGCTTAAAGATAAATAGAGCATTAATATACCAAACCGAGATCTGGATTCTTTTGGAAGCCAGCTTTAATGATATTAGACATCTGTCCCAGCTTGCTTTCCGTTCCTTTTCCGTGTGCACACTCGTGTAAGAAAACAAGGAGTTTGTCGGGGGTACATGGAGCCACCCCCTGACCGACGCCCTTTTCCGAGGCCACCGTCCCAGCGGAGGGTGTGAGACAAAAGTCTAAGCCGATGGGGTCCCTTAACATTTGGCACGCTGCTTGGGTTTCATCCTGCATTTTAAACACTGTGGTCTTTCTTCATTTTTTGCTTTTAGATGCCTGCCTGAAAGCCAACTTAATCGTTCATAACGCTAAGCAGGATTGCCGTGTAGACCAGATGTACAAACGTCACGGCAGCATTCTCTTTCCGAGGTCAAGATGCGAGAGTATCCGGGAAGCATCTGGAGCCATCCATTTGCAAGGAGAGAGCACCAGGTCAGGTCTGCAAAGAGGGAGGGTGAACGTTTCTTTTTAAGGAGAGTACGCGGAAGGTAGAAACCAGCGTCTCAGTGTTCCAAGTAACATGGTTAACACTCAAGGAGCGCCGCAGGCAAGGTGCAGTGGTGGGAAAATGTTCTCCACTTGAGGGCAGACCCGTGGACCTTGGTTTCTTAGATTTGGCACTAACTCCAAAGAGATAGGGGTGAGTCAGTGGGACGAGGGCCACGAGGGAAATGTACCAGGGGCGTTTAGCGTTGTTACGATGATAGGGTGGGATGTTGCTGGCCGGTTAGTGCCTGAAGACCAAGGATGCCCAAGTACAGCAATGTGAGGAACAGGCTTGCACAGCAAAGGCTGGCCAGTCCCAAACGCGGATGAGTTCGTATTGAGATGCGTTGACATTTTTAAGTAGTGAAAATGGGGGCGCCTGGGTGGCTCAGTCAGTTAAGCGTCTAACTCTTGGTTTCGGCTCGGATCGTGATCTCACCGCTCATGGGATCGAGCCCCACGTTGGGCTCTGTGCTGACAGTGCAGAGCCTGCTTGGGATTTTCTCTCTCTCCCTCTGTGCCCCTTCCCTGCTCACACACACACTCTCTCTCTGTCTCAAAATACATACACTAAAAATAAATAAGTAAATAAATAATGAAAACTTTTTTTAAAGACAAAAATCTTACACAGAATCCACAACATATAAAACATAGTGAAGAAGGGCTATTTTTCCTGAAGGAGAGGAAGTCCCTGAAACACTTCTAGGGAACACAGCTTAAGAACCACTATTCTAGGGGCACCTGGATGGCTCAGTCGGTTGAACACCCAACTCTTGATTTCAGCCCAGCTCATGATCTCAGGGTCATGGGATCAAGCCCCATGTGGGGCTCCGTGCTAAGGGTGGAGACTGCTTAAGAGTCTCTCTCTCTCTCTCTTTTTGCCCTTCTCCCCTGCTCATGCGCGCTCGCTCTCTCTCTCTCTCTCTCTCTCTCTCTCAAATAAAATGGAAAAAAAAATCCACTATTCTAGGTGCTACTCAATGGCCATAGAGTTCTAACAACCTGTCTGGTTGTGCAATGTGCTATAAGAATTGACTGATTTAAAAAAAAAACCACATTTTTTAAAAACTGTAATTGTGTTCCTCTCAACATTTTACATGAGAGTTTTTAAACATACAGAAAAATGGAAAGAATTGTAGGTGCCCCAGGTACCGACCACTTAGGTCCCACGGTTGCCAACGGTTTGCCCTTTTTGTCTCCTCCCAGATCCTTCCGTTTACGTTGATTCATCTTATTTTGAAAGTCCTTTCAAAGTGAGTTGCAGACATCAGTACGTCTCATCTCTAATTTCTCAACCTGCACGTCCACCTTTAACAAGAGCAAGAAATCAAACTGACGTGCAGAGAAGGGAATAGATCTAGGGTAAGGTTTGGTGAGCTGTAAAAATATAATTATATGGCTCAGACCCTTATCAAGATATAACACCTCCGAAAGATATGACCTCTGAAAGTTTCCTCATGGCCCTCCCCAGCTAGCGCCCTGCCCCCCCCCCACCCCCCTGGGTCCTGACAGCTGCTCAAACAATCTGTCCGTGGAGTTCATTCCATCAGACGAGCTGACAGTTTGCTGGAAAGAATCATTATGGCTGGTATCTGAACGGACGGGGCAGGGGTAGTCAGGAGGCTTGTGGCCCATCAGGAACACCACTCTCTTCTACAGCCCGCAAGCCTGAAGGCTGGGCTGGATCCTTCGCTCCCCTCGATTTTTTTTTTTTTAATTGTGCTAAAAGATACGTAACATAAAACGTCAGTTTTATGTGTGCACTTTGGCGACGTTAAGCACATTCACATCGTGGGGTGACCATCGCTCCTGTCCATCCCCAGGAATGTTTTCATCACCCCAAGCTGAAGCTCCGTCCCCCTTAAATGCTAACTCCGCACTCCACATCCCCCCAGCCCCTGGGAGCCTCCTTGCTACTTTCTGGCTCTATCAATCTACCTACTGTCTACGCCTCGCATCCACGGAATCACGCAGCATTTGTGCTTTTATGACTGGCTTATTTCACTCAGCGCAATGTCCTCAGGGCTCTTCCGTGTTGTCACCTATGGCAGAATTTCCTTCCTTTTTAAGGCTGAGGAATATTCCATTGCATGCATACAGAGTATTGTGTGTCTCCGTTTTTCCGGTGATGGATGCTTGGGTCGTTTCCACCTTTCGCTGCCGTGAAGGATGCAGCCGTGGGCACGGCTGTCACACACATCTGTTCCCGTCCTTACTTGCGTTTCTTCTCTGCCTTCTCCGAAAATTCTTCAGCCACACCTGCGGTCATGAGGGTCCGCACCAAAAATGCGCTCAGATGCGTCCCTCCTTCCTTCCCGAGCTGCCTTACCCTGTGCCCGGAGGCCCTCCTCCTCCCTCACCTGGACCACTCCCCTGGCTTCCTCCCCGCAGTTCTCCACGGCCTCTCTTGGCCAGTCCTCCACCTGACATTTTCTTTTTATCTTTGAGAGAGAGAAAGAATGGAGGAGGAGGGGCAGAAGGAGAGAGAGAGGGAGAGAGAGACTCTCACACAGGCTCCACGCTCTCAGCGTGGACCCCGATGCGGGGCTCGACGCCACGACCCTGGGATCGCGACCTGGGCCAAAATCAAGAGTCGCGCACTCAACCGACTGAGCTGCCCAGGCACTTCCTCTACCAACATTTTCTTAGCCTTATACTGCAGCCAGAGAGCTTTCAAAGGCAGTTCTGGTCATACCCCCTCCCTGTTCGAACTCTCCAGTGGCTCCTGATGACGCAGAGGAGAAAACCCCAGCACAGTCAGTCCTGCCCGTCTGGCCCTGCTCACACTTTCCCTCCCATACTCTGTGCCGAAGTGACTTTTGCTTGCCTAAGCACGCTCGGTTCCACTCGCCTCTCCCCTTTTGCACAACACGTACTTGCCTGGGCCATTCTCCCTGTTCCTGGGATGTCCTAACCTCTTGTCCTTTAGGACTTAATGTAGATACCGCTGCTTCTGAGAAGCCTTCTCTGTGCCCACCCAAGACGGAGGTGTACCCATGGCTTCCTCCCTTAGCGGCCCCGAGGGATGTTGGTCTGTCTCCTGAGACATGTTTGGCACATACGTCTTAGGTTGTAATATCCTCAGTGTGAACACAGGTCGCATCCACATGGGGTCGGACCGCCAGGTTGAGACTGGTCAGTCATTTTGGAAAAACCTGACCTCCAAAACCTTGGAAAAGCCTGTGCTATAGTTCCAGCGAGGTACTGATAAGCCAGTTTTTGAGAAAAAGTTAAAAAAAAAAAAAAAGCCCAGAGTTGTGGTATTTGTTGATTATTATGGTGTTGATTCTCTGCTCGTGTTCTCAAGCCGCTGTTATAAGGTTACTGGGCACAGACTTGGGAAGTCAGTCATGCTGACCACACCCCAGTGGTTTCCTCCCAAGACCTTTAAATTCCACCAGATTGAACAAATCAGTTGTTTCTAGAAGATTCCTTCAATTCTGTATACCTGTTGTCGACTTCCAGATAATGTTCTACAAACTCCTTCAGATTTTTTTTCTATTAAAAAAATCACCCCCTAAATACTCTGAAGGGCTAAAGAATGTGTTACAAAGATGTGTGCAGCATTCAGTGCGAGATAAGAACAAAGCCAGCATGTATTAAGTGCTTCCTGTGTACCAAGTACTGGGTAGTGACCTTTCCCCGTGTTTTTCCTGTTAATTCTCATAATCCTGTGAGGGCGGTATTACAATATTCCCATTGTACAGAGGTGGAAACCGAGTCCCAGAGCCACGAATGGAACTCCCGCCCATCCGATCTGCAAATCCAAGCTATGGCAAATCGCCTCCAGGGAAGAGGGAGGGACTAGAAGCGAAAGCAAAGGGAAGGAAAGTTAGCTGCTCAGACAATAATCCATCAAAATACCGTCACCCTCATTTCTTGGCTTCCCTGTTGCTCCTTAAGCTTCATTCATAACAAATTACGTGCTGTCCCCTTTCCTTCTTCTTGCGTCCGTTTCTCCTGTCACCTGGCTAAGGATTTCTCGAACTCCGGGGTCTGTGTCCCCAAGGCAAGGGTAGTCCTCACCACCATGGGCCTGGCCTGTGCGGCTCTGACCTTCCTGAACTGCGTTCTCCTCTCCTCAGCCGTATCCTGACGCCTAGCACAGTGCCTGACACATACACATTGAGTGGATGAATGCAGCCGTGTATTTTTGGCTGCCAGGCAACTTGATTTTGAACTGGGGGGAGATTTCGCTCAAGGGAGAAAAGGTGGGACACCGGAATGAATGTCACCATCAACAACAACACAGTATGGTTGGGAGAAGGTGCAGGCTTGGGGCTGGGGCCCAGGCCTGGTTTTTGCATTTATTTCATGTGTGACCATGTATGTTTACTTCACTTTTCCAGTGTCCTCATCTAGAAAGAGGCATCTCGTGCCTCTCTTTCATAGATATTTACGGGTGTCCGTTGCTCTCCAGCTGTTGGGGAAATGGCAGTGAACCAAACATAGGCCTTGCCCTTTGACACTTACATGGCAGACAGAATCCAATACTGATGTGAGTAATAATGGGTCAGGCACGGATGGGGCCTAGGAGGAGAAAGAGAGCAAGGTAACAGGGTGGGGAGTGATTGGAGGTGCTTTGTGAGCGGTGTGGTCAGGTGCGCCATTTTGGACGGATGATGTTCGATGTTCAGAGGCTGAGGGAAGTGAGGGGAAACCCCTGTGGGTTTTCTTGTTCTTTCTTTTCTGTAAATTGTGTTAAAATATACGTAATGTAGGGGCACCTGGGTGGCTCAGCCGGTTAAGCATCCGACTTCAACTCAGGTCACGATCTCGCGGTCCGTGAGTTCCGGCCCCGCGTCGGGCTCTGGGCTGATGGCTCAGAGCCTGGAGCCTGCTTCGGATTCTATGTCGCTCTGTCTCTCTCTGTCTCAAAAATAAATAAACGTTAAAAAAAATTTTTTTTTAAATAAAAAAATACACATAATGTAAAATTTCCCATT